GGTGTGCTTCCTGCACCGGCTCATTGCTGCCCTGCGTTTCTTCTGGGATGGCCACAAGGCAAAGGCACCTGCTGCGCTGAGCAGTGAAGGTAAGGCCTGGAGGAGAAGCTAGCAGGACACTTCTGTGTTTGGGACAGGGTTTGTTTCCTGGCACTGCTCTCCAGGATGCTGAAAGCTTTGTGTTTCTCATGGGTGCTGATGCTTTCTGCACCCTGAGCCTGTAGATCCTGGGAAATTCCTATGTGCAGATCTAATCCCATTAACACCCAGACCTATTCTGGACAATTTGAGACTTGCAAAAGAATATCTATATTGTGATCTGATAGTTAAAGTACAGGGAAATGTATTTGCCAATTTTCACAGGGATTTCTGTGGGATTAAGGAGAAACCAAATCAATGGCCATTGCTTTCCCACTCTTAATCCCAGCTTTATCTATCTCTTTGCTTACTTTTGGCTTACTCTTTCTTCAGATTCATTGAGTGCCTTACAGTACCCTGTGGGATGTAACGGACTCCAGCTCAGGTTAGAGTAGATAGGTGAGAGCTGAAGAGTTTACAAAGGATCTGGTTTTCCCCAGGGACTGGAACTGGGCGGGATGAAGGGCTGGAAGCCTTGTTGCCTCCTGCTTTGGTGTGCATCCAGTGCTTGCTTTGTTATGGAAGTTACCTCTACCTCTATGGCTTGTGTTCTTGGAACAACAGAAGCAGTCACTTGGTACAGCACCAGCCTGGGCCCTGGGCTCTGTCTTAGGACTTACCTGTTGGTGTTAATGTATGTGTGGGGGTCCTGTGTATGGATCTGATGGGACAAACAAGTTTCCTTATCTACTTCAGAGGCGTATGTCCCTCCCCAACTTTTCTATAATGGGAAGGTGGATTATTTTGACCTTCAGCGACTCGGAGGTCTTCTGTCTCACCTCAAGAAGACTCTGAAAGGTAAGTGCTCTGACTTCCAGAAGTTTTACCACAGGTCCTGGCTGAAGTTCACCACGGAGATATCCCAAGGAGGGAGCTGTGGGTAATGACATGTGATTAAACGTAAGGAGAGGAGACTTGAATTTTGATGTGATGCAAGTTAACTCTAGAGAAAGCAGCATCCCTCTGAGGTGGAGTGTCCTTTAAGTTAACAGCTTTTTATATCCGTGATTTGGACACTAATTTGTCTTCTCCTAATTGCAGGCTCCATTCTGAGTGGTCAGTTGGAAACTTTTTTTCTGAACTCCTGTCCTGATTTTCTTGATGTGCTTTTATTCTCTGCCCCAAACTCATTATGGTGGACGGTGGAGACAGTGGAGAGGTGCTGAGCAGAGTCTTATTCCCTCTCTGTGTCAGGGTAACCCCACATACCCTGGTATTAGCTTTGCCATTTGCCCTGGTGAATCTCCCACTCCAGCCCCCCTTGCTGCAGCTGCACAACATGCCAGATCTGCAGATGTAAGATGGGAGTCCAACTCAAGCAGTCCCACAAGGATTCCGCTTCTGCCTATGGCAGGAAGGGAGCCTGGGAATACCTGCTGGGGAAGTGCTCTTGCTGCATCACAGCCAAGGGCTGTGTCAAAGCCTGCACACTTCTACACAGCTGGGTATAAGAGATACCCAGGTTTGACTTGCTGTACCACTCCAGGCAAGCAGTAGCAACAGCCCCAGGTTCTTTCTGGACCACTTTAAACCCAGGACTATGGACAAGAAAGCATGTTCAGGCTTTGTACAGCATAGCCATCTGACAGCCTTCCTCTGGGCTGTGAAGGGACCTGCAGTCTTAGTGATCTGGGGACATAATCATGGGGCAGCAGATTGGAGGATTGGAAGCTCAGCAGGTGGTCTCAGGCCCTGAAATAACTTCCCTGTCTCTGGCCCTGTTCATTGCCTCCTGGTTCTTTGTTTGTTCTGTTTGTTGCTGGTAGGGATAGGAACAGAAAGGAGCAATATCTGTCATTGTTTGGTATCCACTCTGTAGGGAGAGGTGAGCTGGGGGGAAGTGAGTCTGTTCTGATGCAGCATCCAACCTCGCTGGCTGCTTCTCTACTGCTGAGGAGCAGGAGAGAGAATGAACCTAGGGCTATGACAGGTAACTTGTGCGTTCACAGCTGCTCTGGTGTGCTCTTTGCAGATGACCTGGCTGCAAAAGCCAATGTCCTAATTGACCCTGCGGAGCTGCAGGCAGTGACTATGGATGATCTGGATGAAGATGAGGAATCAGCAACATCAGCAGCACAGGTGAGCCACTGGTGCTGGGCAGCAAGCTTAACCTCTAGCTTGTTAAGGGGGAAAGCAGTGTCTGGTCCAGGACTGTAACCAGCCTGTGGGCAGCCAGGTTAACAACTTGTGGCAGATCACCAAGGACCCAGGTGCACCAAGTCTGAGCAGCCAAATTTTCTCTGCACTGTAACTATCCCTTGATCTGAATGTGGCCCTCTCCTCTGTGAAAACTCTTGATGCTTACTTTTAAAGGAGGGCATGGCAGCTGTAGGCACAGCAGCTTCTTGCTGTGCAGATCTGCTGCTTGTGCCTGACACGTGCCCCAGCTGAAGGAACACACATCAGCTAACTGAGCATCATCTCCCTTTCCAGTAGCCCTTGTGCATCTGTACCAAAATCCCTGCAGGGAAAAAAAGGAGCCATAGCGAGCAGCATAACAGCTAGAACTCTTTCTCCCTTAATTTCTTCTCAGTCTCAGCGTCCCTCTGCCACCCTAGCCATTGGTGGAGCTCTTGCCAGACCTGGCTGGCTCAGCTCTCCCACCCTGGGCCGTGCCAACCGTTTCCTCAGCACAGCGGCCGTCAGCCTGATGAACCCACGGCGACCTCTTGGTACCCTTGAGAAGGTCAAAGTACGCACTCTAAGTGTGGAACAGCGTACGGAGGAGGACAGTGAGTACTTCTGCATGCTAGCATGGCCCAGCTGGTCCCTGGGAGAACAGCCTCTTCAGCTCCCCCTGTTCTTGAGAGGAAAGCAATCTGTTTACTTCCAGCATTGCTCCTTCCCTTTCCCAGGGCATGCTGAGATCCACAAAGTCCACAGTTAACCACTTTGCTATCCTGAGCATAACACTCTTGATGTTCTTGCACTCTGTATGCAAGGAGGTGCTGCCTTGGCTCCTGTAAGAGTAGCATGACTTGGCAGGAAGGTAGTTTGGAGGCAGCGCTGTAGTTGTTGCTCCCTTGGTGGGGCCAGGCAAGTCTCTGAAATGTGCTTCAGTCTGTTAGAGCAGATCTGGCAGGTCAACTTGATGCACACAGTGAGGTGGGATGGCGTGTTTGTGTGTCTAGGGAAGGAGCGGTGTGTTGCAGACATACTGCAGGGTTCTGGTCATTGGCTTGAGAGAGGCGCAGGCAGGAGCTGTGGTGCCAAAATGCCTTGTTGAGAACTTCTCTCCTGTCTTGGGGATGGATTGCAGTTGAAGGCAGCAATGGAAATGAGGGTCTCTTACTGGGGAGACCTCCAGAGGAGCCAGACCAGCCCATCACAGAGAACTCCCTCCTGGAAGTCCTGGATGGGATAGTGATGATGTACAACCTCAGTGTCCACCAGCAGCTTGGGAAGGTAAGCAGCACGTGCTTTGCAGGCATCCATTCTCCCATTCTACTGTACTGACTCTCTGTTTTCTGCTTGCTTAGAGACTGTGTGTTCTTTCCTTCTCCCAGCTCCCACGGGGGATCAGATTGCATGCTTTTGTGTGTGGGGAAATAAATGCCCTCATGTTTTGTTGGAATCTGCTTGCTTTTCAGATGGTTGGTGTGTCAGATGATGTGAATGAGTATGCTATGGCACTGAAGGACACAGAGGAAAAAATCAGCCGCTGCCCAAAGAGAGTAAGTGTTTCTGGACATCCAGCTTCTTTCTCTGGAAGCTCCTCAGTACCTGGCAAAAAGTTTGAAGCACGGTGCATGATTTCCAGCAGTGAAGCTGGAAATGTTTTGTTGGGGTAGTAACTCGTGCCTGGAGCTGGCAGCCACATTTCATGCTGTGCCAACCAATTGTACCACTGCTTCAAGAAACAGAGGCACTGAAGCAACTGCTTCAACTTCTCACAGGCACTGTGAGAGTTTGCAAACCTTCAAGTGCTGCAGGCAGCTCAGATCCGTTCTCCTGAAGTTGGGACTAGGAGTACCCCACAGCTGTGACTTAGGATTTGAAAAGGTTTCCTGTCCAGAGGAGACCTTCCAATCCACTTCAGCTTCCAATCCAATTCACAGCTACTGCACTTCTGTCTGAGCTGCTGGGACTTTTCCTTAGATCTGGCATTCACAAGCACAGTTCAGAAAAAAACAAGTAGTAAATACCCTGCAGTGGTGAGCTTGGGACACTTATGTCCTCTCCAGCTGCTGGAGACAGAATGTATCCGGTGATGCATTAAAAAAGTACCCCTGACAGCAGTTGATCCTAGAGCTGTCAGGACCAGTGTCTGCATCAGGCCTTGTGGGCTGCAACTGAGGCCAGTAAGTGCTTTTTATAGCACCGATTCCCACTCCCTCCTCAGAAGGGGAGCTGACCTCTTTCTCTTCTGCCTAGCTAGCCCCAGGGTGGTATTTGCTTTTGTGTTGTTTGTCCAGCTTTGCAAAAGGATAATATAAGTGGAAGTGATATCTGCCCTCACATCTCTGCACTCTTTCAGAGGAGAGACATCCATGAGGAGCTGCTGAAGAGCCAGAAGGTCTTCTCTGAGAAACTCAATCACCTAAGCCGACGCCTTGCCTGGATAAATGTCACCATCTACTCAAAGGTGGGCAGGAACGTAATTTGAGTGGCTCAGAAGGTATTGAGCACGTGTCTGTATCTGTGCTGCTCAGCTCACACGTCACAAGTAATATTTTTGCTGATGATCTCTAGGCCTTGTTTGTGCCTTTGTGCACTGGGACTCCTTCTCAGGCCAGGACTCCCTCCTGCCCCAGGGTTGGTACATTAGAACACAGCCCAGTCTGTTCTGAGCTTTGTGTGGTGCTGTAAGCTTTTCCTTGGGGAGTCAAGTCTCTGTGGTGCAGATAGAAGCATGCAGGCCAAAGGGACATCCAGTTCTTAGGGCAGGCTGAGAAGACAGAGAAGCTATTGTGAAGCATTTCTCTGAGCTGTGCTGTCACAGGGAGTTCTCACTAAGGCTTCTCTTCTTGGAATGTCCAGCACCCAGCCCTTAGGAGTTTCCTTTTCAGATGTTCTCCCCTTCTTCACTTGGTTTCCAAGTGCTTTTTATATTTAGTGCCACACTGACTGTTAGCACAAGTCGTCCCTTCTTCCTCGCATTCACCATCTTCTGGTGTAACATCTCTGGTCCTGCTTTTCTCACAAGCAATTTATGCTCTTACACCCTGCAGATCTCCTCTGGTGTTCCCTTACACATTACCTCACCCCATCTATGTTTGTATGTTCTTTGTTCTGGGGAGTAGGACACTTTTCTCTCAACATGCAGCATATATCCCAGGATGTAAACAGGGAGGGGAAGGGCAGTGGCTCCTATGAACGTATCTGCCAGGGCTGTGGAGGCAGAACTCTTTGCTTGTCCCCTCTATCGCTGGCAGAAACAACTGCAGGGCACAGGATGGCAGCTCTCCAGCCACATGAACATAGCCTTTGCTCGCCAGAAAATGCACCTTTCTTCCTGGATCCCTCTTGAAAGGCTGGGGGGCTTTCCCAGTGCATATCAGTTATCACTGTAGTAGCCCATGCAGAAACAGCGTTCTTGTCTCTAGATGACCTGTTGTCATATTAAGGATGGGTACCTGCTGTTTGCCCATGGAACTGTATCCCCAGTGGGCTCCAGCATCCACGTGGCCTGCGTGCTGGGGAGGGACACATCTGAACGAGTGTTGCTGATGGAGAGAAGGAGTGAATCTGCTCTCTGCCCGGCAGGGAAGTCCTGCTCTGTGCTGAGGTGTCAGAATGCAGGAGAGGCTGCTGTGTCCTCTGGGGAATTCACCGTGCGTTTATTGTGAGCTGTGGGATTTGATGTTAGATGAAAGGAAGGGCAAAACATCCGTAGTTTTGAGGTAGATAATGCCATCTTCAGAACACCCCAGGGGGAGACCATTTCGGCTTATCTTGTTAAGGCACTATTTGTCTGTCACACTGGGGGGAATCACATCTCTCCATCCTCTTGCTGTAAGCTTTCTTCCATCTTAGCAATACCTGAGATAATGTTTTTAGATTATCAGGTCTTAATAAAATCAAACACAGCTCTCTTTACCTTAACGTTGTCTGCACGATTGCTGATCATAACTGTTGAAAACAACACTTGAGCTGAGGTGTGTGCCGGCATTGAGGCAAAGATGTCTTTTATTCAATCCAGTTGATTTTCTCCCCTTTGGTGTAATTTACAGAACAAACTCACACAGCTCTCCCAGAGATGATAGTGGCATACTTTAGGAGAGGAACTAGGCAGATGGAATCACTTATCTGTACCTCTGAGGTGTTGTTGTTTTTTCATTTGAAGTGTAACTCTCTTCCATCTGTTTTTATGTAAACTGCTAGTGTTCATCGCATTTCTTGGCATCACAGGATATAAAACATTTCCTCTTCTTACGTCTTAGTTGGTACTGATTTTAGGAGCTTAAAGTTATATAGATGCCCTTACATTTCCTGGTTTTGATTTAGAACCTCCAGAGCTTTTCTAGAGAAGCAGGAAGCCAGCGCTGCTCCAGATGGGGAATGTGGCTGAGTGGCTGGCACAGAAGTCAAAAGGCTGTGGCCACCCATTGCAGGGGTCTGAGTTGGTGTGAGCTCTCTGCCAGTTTCTGTGTGTTAATTCCTACAGTGGCTGAGGTTTCTTTCTGCCAGATTTATGCCAGGATTGCTAGTGCCTGCCTTCCTTCAGACACTGCACTCAGAATAGAAACTAACACATGTTTTTTTGCAATCAGGCAATGTGGTCTCATATTCCCTAGAAAAGAACAGATCCTGAAGGGATTCAGGACTCAGTGAGACAAAGCCACTGCTGATCTGCTCTCATGCTGGTGATAGCTGTGCTCTGAACTGACTGGGGAGTGCTGTGTTCTCCCTGGCAGGAGAAGATGCAGGATATCTACTGGCTGCTGAGAGTGTGCATCCGCACCATTGAGCATGGTGACAGGACAGGCTCGCTTTTTGCTTTCATGCCAGAGTTCTACCTCAGCGTGGCTATGAACAGCTACAGCGCACTCAAGAACTACTTCAGTCCTGTCAATAGCATGGAGGAACTTCCAGGTAAGGGGAAGGGGAGGCCTTGCTAGTTTTGGCCTGGTAAGACCTAAGTAAAGCCCCATCCCTGTGATGTACTGGTAGCTGTGCATCCCTTCTGTATCCTTCCCTGGCCGTGCTATCCTTCACTTTGTGCTGTCTGTGCGATGTGGGGCAAGTGCTGAATGCTGTTCCTTGGGTAGGTGCCCATTGATGACCTATGCCCTTTACTGAACTTAGGTGGGGTGCCTGTGCCTTGCCCACAGCTGTCACAGCATTAGCTGTACTGAAAATCATTGGCAGCTGTGTGCTTCCAAGGAGGCATTGGGAATGGGTTGGGATGCAGGAAGATGTCATTGTCCTGACCATGTTTGCCACTGGCTGGCTGGGTGGGGGGGATTCATGCCATGACTGCAGGAACAGGGGCTGTTTTCAGTTCCTGGTGGGATTTGGATGTGGAGATGGACACCCACTTCATGCCAGGCGTCTGTGTTCAGCTGGATTCAGTCTGTTCATGCTTTTCCTGCCTACATCACTCTAGCAGTCCTTAGGCTTTCCAGAGCCTGCAAAGGCAAGAGCTGCTGTTCCATTCAACAAGGTGTAGCTAAAAAGTGCCCATTAATTGGAAGCTGTGCAGGGAGCAGTAGAACTAAGCAGCAATAGATCTACTGCTTCAGGGCCTGCAGACTGGACACAGCTTCTATGCATATATCTAGGGTGCTATTTGTGTTGCTCAGCCCCTTCTGCATTAGACTTCTCTCCTGTGTCATCTGTCACAGTTGCTTGTTTTTTTGGTTCCGCCTTTCTCTGTGTGACTGCTTCAGGCTACATGGTAAGGCTGGAAACTGTGTTGCAGATACATGTTTCCCCAGCTGTTTGTTTTGACAGTTGGGCAGGCAAGAAAGCTGCAAAGTTTGCTGCTGCAGGAACTCATCCCATTGCCCGTCCTGTTGCAGTCTGCCCACTGGGTCGTTATGTGTCTCCTGCTCCCTCCTTCTCTTCACAGGCTATGAGGAAACCCTGATGCGCCTCGCTGCCATCCTGGCCAAACACTTTGCTGACTCAAGGATTGTGGGCACAGGTAATGGTGCTCTCCTTTTCTTTGGGGTGATACGTTGCAGGCCTGGCTGGCCCCACTGCCAGTGGCTCAGCGATCTGGGATGTATCCATCTGTCTAGGATCTGTCTGCTGAACTCACTGAGTGCTCTGTACCTCCTCAGGCAAAGAGAGGCTGAACACTGCCATTACCCCACGTGTCCTGCTTAATTCAGGGTTAGGTAGATGACCTAGGATGCCCCTTTGAGAGCAAGGCTCATATCCCAGCTACTTGCACATTAGTCTGGGGCTTCTCAGCTGCCTAGGCACAGGGATGCTCTCCCTGCTGACTGGGGCAGCAAGCCTCTGTTCTTCCTGAGCTGTAGTAGGAGTAGGCACACAGATGCAGATACAGATGGGCCATATACAGGAATCCTTCAATTCACAATGAACTTTTGCTAACATGAGGAGCACACAGACTTGTACAAAAATGCTCATCTGTGCATGTGTGCTTCTGCCTGTAGTTCTCTGAGTTTGGGGCTTGACTTGGGCTTCTGGAGAAACCCAACATCGTGCTGAATGGACTATTTGCTCTCAAACCAATACTCCCTGTTCAGCTTGACTCTTGTTTTGATTCAGTCAAGTCTGCAGGGAAACTACTGCATTTGGAGACAGAGATTGAAGTGTTTCTCCTTCATCAGCTCAGTGTGTCTTCTGTGAAGGTCCTTGAGTGTATGACCCTTTGTGATGCCTGGGTAGATCCTAAAGGCAGAATGATTCAACATGCCTAGTTCCAGCTGCCTGGAAACCAGTTTGGTTCACACACTTGGCTCTAACTGCTCTGAGTTCTACTTAATTCAGTAACTATTTCTGAAGGCATATTTATCCTGCATTCTCAGGATGAATCAAGAGTCCTTTTCTCATCCCTGTCATCTGGATTTAGAAGTGACTCTGCTCCTCTTCCAGAAGCTGCTTTCCCCTCATCCTTTAGATGACACTGTCTTGCTAAGAGATTAAACTAAGGCTGTAGGCACACTTTTCTATTGCAGAGCAGGAGGCTGCTTGTCATACCACTCATCTGCTGACAGCTGTTGCATCCTCAGCAGAGCCCCAGAAATGCTTGTGTGCTCTTTTCATTCTGTGCAGGTTGGCTAGGTGAGCTTGCACTTGGGCCAGAGGAATCCCAGGCATCCATACAGGCTGGATGGAGCGGTCCTTGAAAGCAGCCCTGTGGAGAAGGACCTGGGGGTCCTGATAGATGAAAAACTTAATACGAGCCAACAGTGTGCTCTTGAGGCTCGGAGGGCAAATGGTATCCTGGGCTCCATCAGCAGAGGGGTGGCCAGCAGGGACAGGGAGGTGGTTGTCCTCCTCTGCTTTGCTCTTGTGAGGCCCCATCTGGAATAGTGCGTCCAAGTGTGGAGCCCACAGTACAAGAAAGACAGGGAGCTGTTGGAGAGGGTCCAGAGGAGAACCACTAGGATGATCAGGGGACTGGAGCAGCTCCACTATGAGGACAGGCTGAGGGAGCTGGGCTTGTTCAGCCTGGAGAAAAGGAGGCTGCGGGGTGACCTCATTGCAGCCTTTCAATACTTAAAGGAAGCCTACAAACAGGAGGGGAATCAACTCTTTGAAAGGGTTGATATGTGTAGGACGAGGGGAAATGGTTTTAAGTTGAGGGAGGGAAGATTTAGGTCAGACATCAGGGGGAAATTCTTTACCCAGAGAGTGGTGAGGTACTGGAACAGCTGCCCAGAGAGGTTGTGGATGCCCCGTCCCTGGAGGTGTTCAAGGCCAGGTTGGATGGGGCCCTGGGCAGCCTGGTTTAGTGTTTAGCATTTAACGTGGAGGTTGGTGGCCCTGCATGTGGCAGGGGGGTTGGAGATTCATGATCCTTGAGGTCCCTTCCAACCCTGGCCATTCTGTGAAATTTCTGTGAAATTAAAAGGATTTGAAGTCGCTGGCTGGCTGCACAGAATTAGATCAAGAAATACTGTACAAACTGTAGCAGGGAGTCAGTTGTTTAGGAATACCTTCACCCACTCCAACTAAAGACAGAAGAGACAGTGGGCTCAAGAGGGAGACTCAGGACACAGCACTTGCACAGTGCCTTTCTGTGCCTCCGATGTGGAGCAGTAGCCCTCAGCAGAAGAGCACACACAGCCGGTTGTGGCTTCATGGATACTTCTTCAGTTTTTCCTGAAGAGAGCACTGTTGGAACTTCAGGCTTTGGCTGTAATCTGAATACCTTTTGACAACAGCATTTTTTAGTCTGGTGCTGTCTGTAGCTGTGTGTTTTCCAGTATCTGCTGCTTTGAGCAAGTGTTATCCTTCAGACTCTCCCATCTCATGGCTGACCTTCCCTCTGCACAAAGGGTGCAGATGCTTTTCTAACTGCAAGCATGGGTCAGTCAGAAACCGCAGGGCTATTCAGATTGGAGAGAGCCTCAGGAGGGCTCTCGACCGTCCTCTACAGAGTCAGCTGTGGTGCTGGACTGGGGCTCAGGCTTTATTTGTCTGGTCTTGAAAGCCTCAAAGGATGAAAACTGCACAACACAGAGCCTCTCTGAGCAACTTGTCTCACTGCTTTACTGTCCTCATGGAGAAAACATTTTTCCTTATGTCCAGTGTGAACCTCTCTTGTTTTATGTCTGTTCTGTCTTGCCTCTCACTATATACCATTAGTGGTGTATAACCACAGTTGTGAACTGCATCTTAGTGATAATCTCTTACCTTCCTGATAAATCTCTTTGCAAGCTACTGTTAGCTTCCCTATAGCTTTCTAATCCATGGTGAACAAACCCAGCTCACTTAGCACTTCCTTCCAGTGCACGTTGGCCATATTAGCAGCACTCTGCTGAACTCTAGTCTGCTTATTTTATTTTGAGGATTTCAAAACTGGGTGCACTGCCTCTGGTCTAATGAGAGCTAATTAAAGGGAGTTAATCACTTCTCTTGATCTCCTGGCTGCATTCTTTTAATGCAGCAGAGGATGCTATTGGCCTCCTTTTCTGCCAGGGCATACTGCTAGCCCAAGCTCAGGTTACTGTCTGCTTCCAGCTCTGGTTGCTCTCTGCAGTGCTGTTCTGCACCCAGGCAGTCCCTGCCTGTACCACTGCAAGAGATTCTTCCTTCTCACACCTGGGAGTCAGCATTTGTTCTTTCTGAATTTCATAAGGTTCATGCTGTCCCATTTCTCCAGCCCATCCACATTCCTCTAGCAGTCCAGCCATTCAGCACATCAACTGGTGCCACTCATTTAGCATCATCTGCAAAGCGAGTTCTTCCTCAGAACGTGTCCAGAGAGGGTCTGTTGTTAGTGAGGGCTGGTCCCTCCCAGCCTCTGGTGTTCAGGTGCCCCGTGGCACACTGTGTGTCCTTGGATGTCTGTCCTAGCTCCTTCTCTTTGCTCCACAGACATCCGGGACTCCCTGATGCAGGCGCTGGCCAGCTATGTCTGCTACCCCCACTCACTGCGTGCTGTAGAGAGGATCCCAGAAGAGCAGTAAGTGCTGCCCTGCCTATTCCTGGGGCAGGGCTGGGCTGGGTGGCAAGGCTTGGAGTGAGCAGGCAGGCTGCCAAGCACTGCGGGGATAGAGGAGCTGCAGCAGGGTGCTGGAGTTGATCTGGGGGAGCCTCCTTTCTCTAATGCACCGGTGTGTTGCTCAGCCTCGGCTCCATGAGTTCTGCCATAAGTCCCATTTGTTCCCCTGTCCCCAGACCCTTTGCAGCTGACCTATGTCTTCTGTCATGCAGGCGGATCTCCATGATGAAGAACCTCCTGGCTCCCTACGAGCAGCGGCCCTGGGCGCAGACCAACTGGATCCTCGTCAGGCTGTGGAGGGTGAGCATCCCTGCCCTCTCACTGCCTGGGGCTTGGGTGGACGCTGAGCATTTTGCTTTCCAGTAGCAGCAAAACCTAGCTGTTCTCCGTCCTCTAAGGTCTTTCCGCATCTCTTTTGGCAGGGCTGTGGCTTCGGATACAGATACACGCGGCTCCCACACTTGCTGAAAACCAAGCCTGAGGATGCCAGCCTCCCCAGCCTGCAGAGTGAGTGGGGCAGGGGAGTGGCATTCAGGTTTACAAAGGATGCAAAAGGAGAACTGTCCTAACAGCAGGTGCACTGTAAGAGGGAGCGGGTGTCCAAGGAGGCAGGGCACTGGACAAAGTCAGAAGTAAGGAATGTTTTAAACAGGCTTCTCTCTTGGAGCCTGGCAGAGCCTGTCTTGCCTTTGGCTTGGCATTTCAGTTATCAGTTCTATTGCCAAACTGAGGAGACCCTCAGATCTGCTACATCTGGAAAGGACATGGGAAGGAGGTAACTTTTGTGAGCATCTTCTGCTTCACCTGTGCAGACTCTTGGCCAGTCTGGATATGATCCTGATTCCTCTCTTCTGTGGAAAAGGCTTTGTGCCAGACTGTGCGGGAGAGCTGCTCAGGGATGGGGGACAGAGGGTACTGCAGCCTGATGTAGGCTGGGGGTGTGTGGAGGTGCACTGAATGCCCCTTCTGGTGTGGAGAACTCCTGTCTCTATTTTAATGGCATTCTTGTTCTTTTTCTTTCTCCTGCCTGTGTGTGCCCAGGAGATCTCTCTGTTGCTAGTTTCCAGAGTAAGTTTGTTGTGTGGCCCTCTCCTGTCTGGTGCAGTAGCTTTAGAGAGTTCCCTCCTTCCCCAGTTTTGTGTAGAGAGTCTTCTTTTGTGGGACAGAGGGTTCACACAGCGATCCTTTTTCTCAGTCACATCCCTGGGAGATGCCAGAGAGTCTGGTACCCACATGGCAGATTCTGGGGCTGCATTACAAACCTGCTCTCGTTCCCGTTTGTATCAGCGTTGCCTCTTGGGTCAGAGGTTTGCTGCAGGCTGTGCCAGCTTGGGTTCCTCTCATGCTTGGAGGATGATGGGGAAGCCCTGCTGCACATGGCAGGGGCCTGATGGTTATCCCTCATCCTGCAAAAGCAAGCCCTCGGGTAGCTGCTGTCAGTCCCAGGGGGTGGTCACCAAAATCCCTCAGTCCTGCACGGCTTTGGGACAGGATCAAAGTTTCTCAGTTTTTGAGATCTCTCTGCATCCATCCTTGGATGGCTCCGCACAGTCTGAGCGCAGTCTGGGCTGGGCAGGCTGCTGGGGACTTGCTCTTGGGACTGCTATTTTAAGGTGCAGCTGAATCAATAAGGAGTGCTGGTTTCGTTGAAAAGGGACATGGGACTTAAAGGTGTCCTTGAGATACCGCCCAGGAAAGGAGAAGATGTGCCCTTGCCTTCCCACCTATCTGTCCTCACCTTGCTGCAATTTGAGCATTGGCAGGGACAGCAGGCCAAACTGCTGAGCTGAAAGAAATCCCTGTTTGTCTGGGCCGGCTTCTGCAGCCAGCCTAAAGCCAAAATAATTGGCTTGTGTTAATTTAACTGTGTGGGCCTTCACAGTGGTAGTTCCTCGCTCTCAGAAATGAGCCCTTAACTGAGAGCACAGCCAGGTGGGAACATTCCCTTGGTGGGAGCATACCTAACCTCATCTCCTGTCTTCTGCTGCTGCTGCCTTGCTCTGCTGGGTGTACATTGCAACCTTCCCTTCCTCAAAAGTGTTTATGCAATCTCCCTTCTTCATCCTTCTGAATGATGTGGAAAATAGGGCGGCCTCTGAGTGTTGTTCAGGAAGGCTTTTCGTCCCTGTGGCCCCTTCCCATCTAACATGCTGCTCACAGATCCAGCACTAGCAGCCTGTTTTCATGGAGCTCCCTGATGCATTACCAGGGATGGGGTTTCCTGCACCCCCAGCTTTACATTTGTCACTGCTGCTCCATCTGCCAGACGGGCACATTTACATCTGGCTCCTTTTGAGAAGTCAGGTCAGTGCAGGGTGGAGCTGCTCTGCTCCTCCATCCGGCCCATTGCTCCCAGCTCTGCTGATGCCTGGAGCCTCACACATACATCACCCAGGGCACTGACCAAGAGGTCTCACGAAGAGCCCTGTTATAGATCTTGCCAGGTCGTTAGCAAACCATAAAGTACATAATTATCTTCCTGTAATGAAAGTACATGACCCTGCTTCTTCACAGTCAACCAGTAGGAACTCTTATTGAATGCTTCCACTTTATCTGCTTTATTAATTTTTAAGTCTATCTGCTAATGGCTTCTTGCTGTTTGACTTTCTCTTATGGCTACTTTTCTAAATAATTCTGTTACTTCCTGTAGTTGAAGAAACCGTGTGTGTAGCCAGCTTAGTCCTGAATGTTTCCTTTTTGTCTTTTCCTTCTATTACCTCCTTTCTCCTTGTTTTCTTCCACTGCTGGCTATGTTTGTCCCCGTTTTGCCCTTCTCATCTTAGCTTTTGTCTGTACTTCACCATGGCCTCAGAGAACTTTCTGGCTGAGAGGTTTGCTGCAGTTCTGGGGTTTTCTGGCTGCCTGATAACCGTACAGATTATTTCTCCCCACTTTGAACTTTGTTTTTCCTCCTCTGACTGCTTTGCTCACCTTTCTGCAGGGAAGTTCCTGTTGTGGAAACATCAGTTGTATTTATGACAGCTTGGGGCCACACTCTGTTGCCCACATTAAATGTATTGAGATCATAATTTCTGGCCTTGGAAAACCACCAATTTCAGTTCCAATGACTGATGTTCATCTGCCATAATGAAGGCTAAGCCAAGATCGAGTGGCTTTCGTATGAAGGAGTTACAAGTTTTAGAAATCCTGATGATGTTCTGTTGCCAAGATTGAGAAGGTAACCATGTCAGCAGGTCACCATAGACTCCTGGCACTCCTACTCCTCTCCTACAGCCAACGTAAGAGCTGTGCTCATACCCAGGAGGGCAATGCTGAGTGGGGTGTAGGGAGGAAACCCCTCAGTGCAGGTGAGCATCTTGTTAAATGGAGAATGCAGGGGTCTGACTGCAGGGTTAGGATTCTGGATACAGTGATGTTTGCCCCTTGGTGATCCCAGTCTGGGAGCTCATGCGGGAGAGCAGCCACTCTTGTGGCTGAGGGCAAGTTCCTTCCATGGCTTTCAGCATGGTCACGGTGTAATTAAGACTCATGCTCCTCCTGGGATCAATAAAGGCCAAACTGGTGCACCTGGAGTTAGCTAAAGACTTAGAAAAAGTCCAAAACTCTGACAAGCAGCACCACTTCTTAGTGCTCTTATGAACTGGCACAGCCTTTGCCAGAAGCAAGGAAAGCATTTAAGAACCTGGAACTGGAGGCTTGGAGCAAATTCACACCACTTATTGGAAAAACACCATGAGGAAATAGCCATTGGCCAGAAGTCAGGGAAAAGCAAGTTACTACAAGCAGAAAATCATCCTTCAAACTGCCTTCAGCTGAGGTAGGCTTTGGCTGGGCAGCTCATTTTGGGAACTGTCTTGGCTTGAAGTGTTGGTGGAGGAGGCAGAGCTGCACAGCGCAGCTGCGGTTTGCGGTGGTGGTGCTGGTTCTTGTAGTCTTTATTTTCTGTGATCAGGCTTTTTCTCCCAGTCCTCACTCACAGACAAACCCCCTCGCTTAGTGTTGTCTGCTCAGGGTGCTCTGCGTGCTGTGGCCTGTCACCAACAGAAGAAAACAGAGTGAGCTGTGGTGCTGCCTGCTGGACTTCTCTGCTTGCACCTTGCAGCCAGTGAGTTCCTGAGGATCACAAACCACGGTTCTGACAAAGGGTTATCCTTCAGCTGAAATCCTAGCTTAATCTTTTCAGAAAAAAAAAAAAGAGAACAAGAACAGCAACAAAGAAAAAGCAGCTTGATGCGTGGCCAAAGGAATGAATTACACAACAGCAATTGCAAGGGGAGGAAAAGAGAACAAAACAACACATTATGCTTTTGTGCAAATCTGCCTCCTATTTGTGGTTTGGATGCTGAGGGCACTTAACAACTCCACCTCTCCACAGAAAATCTGGGAGAGCTGGTGAGGCTTGGGATGGTGGCACAGGAGCATGGATGTGACAGCCTGTGACAGACAGGCTGCTGGGACTGGAGCTGTTCCTGCCTCAGGAGCAACTCGGGGCTGTGATGGAGGTCCGAAATCATGGCTGACTGCAGGGGGTAAATGGAGAGCAGCGTCTGAGGGGCAGCAAGAGGAAAGTTATTAAATGAAGCGAGTGAGAACCAAGCTCCAGTTAGAATTCTTCCTGCTGTGAACAGTTAGGCTGTAAAATGTTGCTCGAGGGCATGTTCAGTGCCAAAGGCTTACATAGCTTCAGGGGGGCCCTTGGCAAGGAAGCCACAGAGGGTCACTGAGTACATAAAATCCATCTGACTCAGGCAGCCCCTGAGCCGTGCGTGGGCACAGGACATCAAAGCCATTTGCCCTGATGAAATCCCCCCCAGAGATGTGCTTTTGGCCAGGATCAAAGCCTGCCTGGAGTGTGAGGGCTCCGAGCACCAGCACATGTCCTCCACCCCAGCAGAATCTTGGACTCATTGTGAAGATTTACAGTATCGTTTCTCCCATTCCCACCCAGGCTGATGATCTCTGCCTGCCTGCCTCCTCTCTAGTTCTATTCCCAGTGAGCAGTGTATAGTTGTGCCTGGCTGCTCAGTCTCTGAGATCATGCTGGAGGATGCTGTGTGTTTTCTTTGCCCCTGCTGCCCTTTGAGCAGGAGTTTTCACCTGCTCTTAGTGATAGCTTTTCATAGGGAAAGTAGTTGTGCTTCTTCCCTGTACTTGGTAAAGATGTTCATGGTCTTTTCTCCAAGCCTTGCATGTTAGTCTGTAGTTAGATCTTGGCTGTCCTTCCCTCATGCTGTTACTGATTCTGTGAGCCTTCATCTGCCAGTGAGAAGCATCCACCCCATGGGTGCCTCTTCCTTTACTCCCTTATAGGGGCCAGCATCCCGCATGGGGCTGACCACACTCCCCAGCTGCAGGCCCTGGGGGCACATTGCCATGCGTAGTGTGTTGGCAGCCCTGCCTGCCCGAGCCCACTGGAGGCACAGCCTGGCCCTGGGCAGGAGGAGGGGTTTTTCTAGGTGCCTCTCACACACACTGGCTCTGGAACAAGCCCAGAGCCAAGCTCCTACCTGCTCTTGCCCCAAATCTGTGGCCACTCTGTGTCCATGCCACTGAGCTGTCCTTGTCTGCTCGCAGAGCCGTGTCCCTCCACCCTGCTGCAGAGGCACATGGCAGACCTGCTCCACAGCGACTGTGACTTGGCCCCCAGCTTCCTGAACAGCGTCCTCAACCAACTGAACTGGGCTTTCTCCGAGTTCATTGGCATGATTCAGGAGGTAAGCACGTCCCTGGGCTGCACGCCCTGCACCCACTGTCCCACAACAGCAGGACTCGGGACTTGAATCTCAGGGCTGGGGGTGCAGCCGTTCCCTGGCACGTACAGGAACTGGACCAGGCTGGGGTTTGTGGCCCTTCTTTTGGGAAGAGGCCTTGTTAAGGTGTCTCTTTCTAGATCCAGCAGGCTGCAGAGCGCCTGGAAAGGAACTTTGTGGACAGCCGCCAGCTGAAGGTGTGCGCCACGTGCTTCGACCTGTCGGTCAGCCTGCTCCGCGTGCTGGAGATGACTGTCACTCTTGCCCCCGAGATCTTCCTGGACTGGAATCGCCCATCGTCGGAGCTGCTGCTTCGGAGGCTCGCCCAGGTATTGGCCTTTGGCAGAGAGGGAAGGAGTTTCCTCAGAGAGGCTGTGAGCAGCCCTCAGTGCTCGCGGTTTGGGGAGTGTCAGCAGAGAGCAGCGCGCTGCAGCGTGCCTCTCACCCTGCTGACACTGCAGAGCTGTGCCCACGCAGGGGATGCTTTGCACAGAGATTGCACAGCTCACAGTGAGCGTGTCAGGCCTGGAGCCATCCCTGCTCATCCCACTGTGTTGTGGGTGAGAGCTAATGGTGGTGGATTAAGTGCCTCTGCAGCTGATTCCTGCAGTGTAGAAATCTCCATCCGTGGTGATGCTCTGTCACGCAGAGAAGCACGTTGCTCTGTGTGCTTTTCCTGTGCCTCGGGGTTGGTAGGGCTGTGCCACTGCCATCCCGGCCCCACTGACACTGCCTTGTCCAGTAGCAGCTGACAGCCAGCTCTTCATGAGCTGTGGCTGGACCCTCTGCTTTCAAAGAGCTGCTTGCACAGAAGCAGCTTGGCATCTGCAGGTGGAGTACAGATGTAAGTGCAAGGTGCTGACCTCAGACATGCTCTGCTTCTTCCTGCACAGCTCTTGAACCAGGTGCTGAACCGTGTGACAGCTGAAAGGAATTTGTTTGACAGAGTGGTCAACCTCCGTCTGCCAGGTGAGTCTGTGCATCAGCTCTCCATCCCTCTGCCCTGTTGAGAACATGCTGGAAGCCCTCAGACAGCAGGCACATTGTGGCCAAGGTCATTGCAGAGGTGTGGGATCAGCAGCTGTATGACTCTAGCTGTCCGCAGCAGAGGTGGCAGCTGGGCTGTGCCCGTGGCTGGAGAGGTACACTGACCTGACATGGGTTAGACTGGAGCTGTCTGCAGGGCTCAGAGGCCTGGACAGATTTCAGTGTAGGTAGCAAACTTTGTTGCTGTGCATTGCATTGAGTAAAGGGTGGAGTAAATTCTTAAGATATGGAGCAGTTGGAGAGGGTCCAGAGGAGAGCCATGAAGATGATCAGGGGGCTGGAGTGCCTCCTCTGCAAAGACAGGCTGAGGCAGCTGGGCTTGTTCAGCCTGGAGAAGAGAAGGCTGTGGGGTGACCTCATTGCAGTCTTTCAATACCTAAAGGAAGCCTACAAACAGGAGGGGAATCAACTCTTTGAAAGGGTTGATATGTGTAGGACGAGGGGAAATGGTTTTAAGTTGAGGGAGGGAAGAGTTAGGTTGGATGTCAGGGGAAAGTTCTTTGTAGAGAGAGTGGTGAGGTACTGGAACAGCTGCCCAGAGAGGCTGTGGATGCCCCGTCCCTGGAGGTGTTCAAGGCCAGGTTGGGGCCTTGGGTAGCCTGGTCTAGCATTAAATATGGAGGTTGACAGCCCTGCCTGTGGCTGGGGGGTTGGAAATTCATGATCCTTGAGGTCCCTTCCAACCCTGGTCATTCTGTGATTCTGTAAAGGGTGCACTGAATTGCTGAGGCAAGCTGTTTGCACCAGCATCAGCTATCTTCTTCCTGTTCTGCCTGTTGGCAGAGGCAGGCTCTGGGTACTGTGTTGTGAGCATCCCCTATTGACCATAAAATGGCCGGATCTTCCTGCCTGCTTGACAGAGGACAGACCACCTTCTCCTTCTGGGGCTTGGAAGAGGCAGGGATGCTCTCTTGGGAGAGCAGTGCCCAAGCCTGGAGCTCATCAGTGGGGAAAACTCCTGTTTTTGTGGGAACCCATGGCCCCTGCAGCCCCCTGCAGAATCAAAGTCACAGCCCTGCCACCAAGGCTGCAGCCCCATCCCACCTGCTGTGCAGCAGCACTTATTCTGCCTTACACTTTTCCTTCTGTAGGACTGGAGAGCGTGGACCATTACCCGATCCTCGTAGCTGTGACAGGAATACTGGTCCGGCTGTTGGTGGACAGTGATGCTCAGGGGTGAGTGGCTTTTGATTTCTTAAGCACGGTGTTGCTGCACGTGGCATTACTTTCCCCATGTGCATACCCTGGGAGATGCTGCAGGAGCAATAGGGGTGTGTGGGGACCGAGGTGAGAAGAGGTAGATGTGCCTGGAGCGTTCAGCACGTTGGTGGCCTCATGCTGGGAATCATGACAGCTCCACACATCTTTGTTGAAAAAGCTCTCAGTGAAGCCATGCCTCGGGCTGTTGGTCTGTGTTGCCAGTGCTGCTTGCATCAAGCTCTGCAAACAGGCTCGTGCTGATGTCTTCTGCAGCCTGGTCCTGCTCTCTCCCAGTGCTGCCCTGCCGTTGTGCCCTGTAGGATGCTGTAGGAAGGGGCTCTTATGTCTGCCCTGTGCATCCTGCTTTGGAGAACATGACAATCCCTGGCTGTGCGCAGAGCAGAGAGCCCCATCTGGCCGTGCAGCTCAGCCATGCAGACAGTCTTTCTGCTTCTTCTCTCAAGGACTCAAAGATGTACACAAATCTACATCTAATTATATCCTGCTCCCATGGCTGCTGCACCAGTCACACAGCCCCAGGGGTGACAGTGCCAAGTGCTCAGTGCAGAGTCGCTGGCAGTGGCCTTTCTGGACTCTGGGTTTGGGTGTGTTTTGCTCTTCCCCAAAATCCTGCTGCGTGAAAAGGGGCAAACATCATAAATTTGACACCACAACTGGTTCCTTCCTCCTGGAGGGAAAGGAGGGGTGTCAAGCAGTTCCCCGTGTGCCTGGCAGGATGAGAAGGCCTCCCCCGTTCCCTGTCCCTAAAACATCTGTCCTAGGGCTAAAAGCTGTTTCTCTGCCCTCCAGCCCAGTGAACTTAGGAAGCAGGGTGCAGGATGGAACCTGCCAACTCCCAGCCTGCATCTCCCCTGCCTGAAAGCCAGTTGTGCTTTGGGCTGGTGACAGCCAGGCAGCCTAATGCGGGGAGGTGGCACAGCTCAGCAGCAGCCAGCACAAAGCTGTCACAGATGCTGAATGGCACTGTCCCCTGTGTGTGCCCACAGCAGCCAGGACAGCACGGTGACAAACCAGAAGTGCTGTACCCCGTTGTGCAGCTGGAAAGTGGTGAGTCCGAGGCTGTTTATCAGGGCTTTGCAGCCACCTCCTTGAACACTGGAAAGCAGAGGTAAATAAGAAGCAGTGGAATGGTGCAAGAAAGCATTGTGTCCTTATGGTGGGACTGGCTGAGTGGGAGAGGCACAAGGTGAGACAGGAGGAAGCCCAGGAAAAATTTTCTCTAAAACAAAATGCTTGTGCATTATTTTGCAAAGCCCAGCAATAATTCTGAGATTTGATACGCCACTGATCTATAAAAGGCAGGCAGGCTTTGCAGGGAGGTTGCTCAGGTCAAACAAGACATAGAAGTACCAAGGCTGAGCATCCCAAAGGCATCTTTGCTCCCAGAGCACGGAGTAGGCAGCCTGCTGGTACCAATACTGTAACTGTGGGCAGATAACTCTCAGGGAAGGAGAGCTGAGCACTCCCCTTCTTGCCAGCTCTGAGTTGGTGATCCAGGGCTGTGCCCTGCCTACAGGGTGGTTCTGCTCAGCACAGCACATTCAGAACCAGCAAACAGGGCTGCAGGACCAGGAGGTGCAGCGGGACTGAGTATGGCCGTATTGAGGTCTCTGCCCACAGTCACCCTAATGCAGGGAGGTGGCACAGCTCAGCAGCAGCCAGCACAAAGCAGGCCTGGGGAGGTGTCCTTTTCCAAGGTCGTGAGCAAGAGGATCCTTCTTGGAGAGAAAAAGGAGAATTAAACCTTTATCAAGTTGGTTCTATCCTGCAGGAGATGGCTGCTGTGGGTTGTATTGCTGCAAGGAGCCAGCAGCAAGGATCCCATCCCCAGGTTCTGTCTGTCAAACCTGTTTATGTGGACCCAAGAGGAGGCAGCCCTCCTTTTCCCTTTTTTGCTTGCTCTCAGTGGGGCGAGCAGGTAAGAGGATGGGATTCCCCTTCTGCAGAAGCACTACCTGGAGGTAGGAGTAGGAAGAAATTTATTCCAGGTCCCATTTGGCACCTCCCAGATTTCCAGAAACTGTTAACAGAGCGATTACATCACATGAGTTTGCTCAGAGGAACCTCTCTATAGGAATTACCCAGAACTAGCTGTTGAGCTGCTGGGTTCCCTGCAGAGAGGGTGAGGACAAAGGGCAGGAGGACCTCCTGTCACCTCTTTGCTTGAGTGAGCTTTCTCTGTCTGTGAGCTGACCAGGTGCTGGGGGCTTTGCCCTGGGACGGCACACACAGCAGGGAGAGCAGGGCTCTGCACAGTGCCCTGGGTGCAGCAGGACGTGGCCTGATGCCTCAGCTGTGCTGTCCAGCAGGATAGGCTCAGCCAGGCATCAAGTCCTCCTATTACGGCCTCCTGGCACAAAAAGGGCCATTAAGCACAGGAATAGGGAACATTGCCCGGGCTGGGATGTGAGGAGACAATTGATACATGGTGTGTGTTAGTCCGAAATGCACTCCTTGGTTCTGTGAGGATGGCTGTGCTGCTCGCAGTGAGGCAGCACTCAGTGCCCAGCACCAGCTCTGCTGAGCCCCAAAGCCTGGCCAGCCAGTCCTGGCACTGGCACCGGGGTAAGGAGGAAAGCTGTGAGGTGGTACCTGAGCATCCTCCAAGAGCTGCTGGCCTGGGCAAGAGCAGAGCCTGAGGACTTTCACGCTCAGCTCACTCCTGAGGGGTGAGACTCACAGATGGGCAGGGTGCAGGATAGAGCCTGCCTGCTCATAGTGGGTCTGCAGCAGAGCTGTTCCTGTCCCCACAATAGAGACGTGGCAGCAGTGTCACTGATGGTGCTCCCAATGCTAACGGGATGCCTGTGTGCTCCGTGCTTTGCCAGGCCCTAATGACCATGCCTTGCTTTTATGGGGAGGAGAGAGAAGGTGGGAGCTGAGCCTGGAGCTGCTCTGAATCGCTGGGACCATGCCAAGGACCCGGGCAGCCTTCAGCCAGTATCATCCCCCTGTTTGTCTGCTAAATAATTGAGCAGATTTTCTATTAAGCCTCCTTTGGACTGAGCTAATGGAGCCAAGTTGGCCAGATCTTGTGTAATGATCCTGATGAGAGCGAGTGATGGGGGAAAGGGCAGTGCCCGAAGGTTCTCCGCAGGTGTCTGCGTGTGAGGGGACTCACTTGGTGGCAGTGGGGCTCTGGTTTGGAGGGCTGGGATGTGCTCAGGAGTTTGGTGTGTTTGTTGGAAGCACAGCTGTGATGGAGCCTTCCGGGGGGCTCGCAGGGAGTGCCACCCAGAAGGTGGGAAGGACAGTGGGAAGCACTGCGGTCACCTGGCTACGGACTGCTTCACTGACTGTGCCCTGAGCAGGGGGTGCGCAGGCTGGGGTCTGCCGTGCCGTGTGGGGATGGCACGGGCTGGGGCATCAAGCTTTGCTGCCTGTGTTTCTTTGGAAGTCCATGAGTGTGGTAAGGGAGGGGCCCAGGTGCAATCAGCCCCAGGGTGGAAGGGTAGGAGAGAACCAAGATGTGGAGCGTGGGGGACAGATGATCCTTGGGCCCCGCACACCCGTGTTGCTGTGCTGCATGCCAACCCACGGTGTGGCAGCCAGCCAGGCCAGAGTGATTACAGGTGGCTGCCAGGAGGGGATGGTGGTGATGGAGACCATCTGCTGTATTTCCAGCCCTGCCTGTTAGGGAGGCCATGCCCGTGGCTGTGCTTTCCCTGGCTGAGATTTACCGTTCAAGCTGCTTGAGGGACTGCTCTGGGCACCTTGCTGGAGCTGCACTGCAGGGCTGAGTCCTTTCCTGGCACCAGAACAGTGTGACACACAGCGATGGGGTTTTCCTGGGAAACAGGGAGCCCTTGTGACAGGCACTGAAACAGCCATGTCCATGGCACTGTGAGATGGGGTTGGGCAGCTGCAGGGAGCAGCAGGCCCCTTGCTTTGGGGTGGATGGTACCAGCCCCTCACCTCAGCACCTCTCTGGAATGCTTTTCCGGAATCTGAGGTGAAGCATCAGCATGATGCCATGATGCAGCAACCAGATCCCTCAGCAAGGCATGGCTTTGCTCACGCAAAAGCAGGGTGGTAGGATTCCCATTGTAAAGGGCAAACCCGTATCCTCCTCAGTGGGATCCCTGCATGGGAGCAGAGCCAGGGGACCGTACCACCGCAACTCCCCAGCCCCAGCAGCAGCTGGCATGGCTGCTCAGCATCCCGGGCTCATTAGCAGTGCTGTGCTAACACAAGGGGACAGCGGGTGCAGGCAGTGAGGCAGGGCCGGCAGCAGCTGTCAGTCCCCATCCCTCGCCAAGCAGGGGCTGCAGGGCTGATGGCACGGGGCTGCACAAGGTCGGTTTCAGGTGGCGAGCCCGAGCGCTTTAGGCAGGGCTGACTTTGTGCTGGAAATAAGCTGCTTGTCTCTGTGCTGGAAGAGTGGAAGGATGGGCGAGAGCTGTGTTCTCTCATGGTGACTGTGCAGGGGTGGTTGTGTCCCTGTGCTTGGCTCCATGTCCCTCTGTGGTCCCCCCCTCCCTCAGTGTCAAGGCTGGCCTGCTCCTGAGCAAGTAAATCTCCCATCCCTCTGAATGCTGCTGGTTCCTGAATGTGCTGTGTGCCACTGCTGCTGCCCCCTCCCCACCTCACAGATGTTACCTCCTGGGGACAAGTGACCAGAGGCCCCCCAGCCCTCAACACTGCACGTCACACTAACCCCACGCTGATCATGGGGGTCCTGTAGCCCTCAGCCCAGCCGCCCTGCCGTGAGGACAAGGAGACACACAGCCCAGCATGAGCTTAAAAAAATAGGCATTTTTTTATTCAAATGTAACTGGAGAGTGATGGCCCGAGAGAGGAGAGCATTACTCACATTTATTGACAGGCTCATTAGGTTACTGCCTCAATAGCTGTGCTCGAGCAGCGCGCGTCCATCTCAAGGAGAAGCAGCAAGCACAGGCAGTGCAGGAGACCTCAGCGTCCTTGGTGGCATGGGGAGCTGCAAGCAGCGCTGCGTCAGTCACCTCCTGGTGCCCGACATCACTATGTACAGCTTTGGGGGTGTTCAGAGGCAAAAACATGCAATGTTTGCTTGGCTGGGTGCTGAGCCCCCTCTTTGCCACACGGTCCCCCCGTGGATGTGTGGGGCCACAGGACCGCGCTCCCTCCACTCCAAGTGGCTGGGGACAGTGGCATGGCCATCTCTGAGAGTCCTCCCGAGGACAGCACTGGGGGGATTGGGCTGGGAGCACTGGGCTGGATCTTGCACACCCACGGCCACAGCCCTGGCATCACTGCTGCCTGGACAAAACAGGGATTGCAGGTGTGCTGAATCCATCAGTGTTGCCCTTGTGTCAGCAGCTGAAGCGGTGCAGGTGGTGCTGAACCCCCCCCCCCTCCCTCCCACCCCCCATAGTCAGGCTGAGCCGCTGGGGCTCGGTGATGCTCTGAGCAGGCGAACAGCTCAGCCCCACTACGACACGATGGGGGTGTCTGAAAACACGGAGCTGATGGACTCGGTGTCCGACCGCAGCTGCAGCACCTTGGGATGCCTGCCGTCGGGGAGGCCCTCACCGGGCACCGGGCGCTCCTTGCCATCCAGCACCTCACGGGCAGGCTCCAGGAAGGCCACGTGCTTGCTGGCCCTGCGGCTGGGCCCGTCGGTGGTGGGCGGTGTGGCACTGAGGATGGAGGACTGTGCGCTGCACTCCTGCGGGGGGCTGGGGGAAGCCGTCCTGCAGCACGGCGGGCAGCGGCACGGCGTCACAAACAGGTAGACGAGCACCAGCAGCAGGCTGACGATGCAGCCCAGCAGCGTGGTCAGGCCGGTGCTGAACGCCTCCCCGTCTGGCTTGGAGTAATGCACCGTCACATTGACCTCGCACAGCCGGCTGACGTTGGGGCCATTGATGGCCAAGCAGACATAGACCCCGGAGTGCCAGGGCCGGGCGGATGCAATACGCAAGCTGCCGTTGTGGAACACCTCGACGGAGCGGTTGGCATTCCCCGGGGGCCAGATGGGCTCATGGTGTGGGGAGATCCACATGTAGGCGACGTGGGGCAGGCTGGCATTGCAGGCCAGCAGCAGCACCCGGCCCACCGTCACCGGGAAGGACACGGGCTGCGTGGGGTCTGGCTCGGCCGAGCAGTTCTCAAACAGGTGGTTGTACTTGAGGAGCTTGATCAGGGAGCGCGGCACAGCGTCGGATACCTTGCAGGTGTGCTCCTCAAAGAAATCCCGCACCGAGCTGAAACCCCGCTGCCTCCAGCGCTGCAGCATCAGGTAGAGCGGGCAGCTGCAGCGCACGGGGTTGTTGTGCAGGTAGAGGCCGTTGCGGACGTGCTCAGGCAGCGCCGCCAGCTCCTCCACAGGCAGGCTGCTCAGGCTGTTGGAGGACAGGTCCAGCGTGCGCAGGCTGAAGTTGCCCAGGCCCTGCACCGCGTGGAAGGGGAAGGAGGTGAGGTTGTTCCAGCTCAGGTACACCTTCCTCAGCCCGCTCAGCTTGGCGAAGGCGTTCTCGTCCACCCGCGCGATGCGGTTGTTGTAGAGCAGGAGCTCCTCCAGGCTCACCAGCTCCTCGAAGTAGTGCGTCTCGACGGCACGCAGGCGGTTGGAGGACATGTCGAGGTGCCGCAGGCGGGACGCGTTGTGGAAGGCACGCGGGGACAGCTCGCCGATCTGGTTGTGGCCGACGTGCAGAGCCTCGAGGTGCGGCAGCGCGGCCAGCCAGCCGTCCTGCAGCTGGCTCAGCGCGTTGTGGCTCAGGTCCAGCGTGGTGGCGGTGGGCGGCAGCGCACGGGGCACGCGCTGCAGGGTCTGCCGGCTGCAGCTCAGCAGGTCGGAGGTGCAGATACAGGCGGGGGGGGCAGCTGCGGGGCGGCGAGGCGCGCGCGGGACACAGCTGGAGCAGCAGCAGCAGCCACAGCTCCGCGGACGCCCACGGGGCCATGGCGTTTTTCGGCGGCCCGGGGCGGTGGGGACTCAGCGGGGCCGTGCTGCCCTACCGGCTGCTGGCAGAGCCGGCCACGGGGGCCGGAGCAGAGCTAAGGGGCGGCATGGCCCCTCGCGCAGCGCCACGCGTTGCGGGGGGGGCCGCATCCAGCAAGGATGCCGCGGTGCTCCAGTGCTCACCCAACGCCTCCCAGCGCCGCTCGTCCCCGGAGCGCCAAGTTTCTTAGAGCTCGGCGCCGCGCATCGCCGTACCCGGCCGCTTCCCGGGTAGCATCTCCCGGCGGCCGCCCGCTCGCCCCTACTTACGTGCTGGCGATGCGCAGCGTGGGGGCTGGGCGGGAGCCCATTGGTCCCGGCGTGGGGAGTGGTGGCCGCGGTGGCCGGGCGGCTCGGCGCGTCCCTCCCTCGCGTGCTGCGGTGGGCAGGGCGGTGCGAGTGCTCGTCCCAGGGGATCGCTTCGGAGACCCCCGGCCGTGCGCAGCCTCTGTTCCTCCTTCGACAGCGGCAGCCGCTGCGCCGCGCTGACCTCCCACACCCCGGTGCGTCCGTCCCTCGCTGCCCTTGTCCCGGTCAGCCCTTGATGAGCTGGCGGGGACCCCCTGGCACGCCCATCCATGGGGGCAGGCTGAGCTCAGGGATCCCTGCGGTGGAGAGGGTGCTACTAGCAGGGGCAGCCGTGCGGTGAAGGACGTGCAGGAATGTCATTGCCAGCTCCTGGGCTCTTCAGTGGGAAGCGGAGAGCGGGGATGGGGAATTGGTTTCCATTAGGGAAGCAAAAGAGCTCATTTGGCCGCTGTGGCTGCTGGGCACTGAGGGGCTGTTAACCCCCTGCTCCCCAGAGCAGCTCAGCCGGTGATGGAGATGGAGACTGCTGTGTCCAGCTGTGCCCTTGCTGGAGGTGGCCACGGGGCTGTGGCTGGGGCACAGGGCAGGTGCCTGATGGAGGCAGTGCCTGAGCAGCATTGGGGGCTCTGGATGCCACATTGTGCCCCTCCTCTGTCCAGAGCATCCCTGCTGATGCATGAGGCGTGAAGAGACACAACCGCTCTCTCCCTCCTCCCTGCCAGGGTGATGGCACACCGTGGGGACACCGTGTGGTGTCCCCGAGGTGCAGATGTGCTCCAGTCCCGGGCTGCTGCGGTGCCATGTCCTCACCCTGCAATGCTGGTGCCAGCTGCTTCAGCCACCCTGCATCTCTTAGGGCGCAAGCCGGCACCTGAGACTGAGGTGCAACCTTGGCAAATGCCAATGCAGCACATCAATCCGGGGTCCTGCAGCAGATCCCCAATGGGATGGTAGTGGAGGAGGGGGAGGAGGAGGAATGCCCTTTGGCTGCCTTGGTGTGTGCTGTGGGAGCCTGAGGACTGGGGGCTACCACCATGCTGCATACGCTTTGGGACAGCTCCTGCAGAACAAGCCAGCTGCGTGGTGCTGGGGCACAGCCAGAACCATGTCTGGGAACATGGGGAAACAGGCAGAGCCTGTCTGTATCCTTCCCTTTGCAGGGCTGAGCGCGCGACGGCGGTGCTGCTGGCGGACCCCTGCTTCCAGCTGCGCTCCATCCAGTACCTCCTGGGCCATGCCGAACCTGCAGCCATGGCAGCAGCTGCTGCGGCCACAGAGAAACGCCACTTCTCCCTGAGCACATGTGAGTGATGCACCAGGCTGGGGCAGTGGGCTGCCGGCCCTGGGGGCAGCACTGGGCACGCAGCAGGCCCAGCAGCCGGGTGCCACGCGGCTCTCAATGCGGTTCTGCCCCCAGACACGGAGTACATCAGTGCCGAGGAGCTGTCCAAGGTGGACAAGATGCTGAGCCATCTGAGCGAGGAGTCCAAGCAGGCGGCTGCCACCACGCTGGTGAGTGTCCTCCATTCCCATCCCCACGCACAGCTCTGCTGCTCCAAACTCGCCTGCAGCCCTGGCACCGCTGCCCCCCAGCTCCAAGTACCTCTGCCAAGCACCCTCCTGTCCCCCACAGCCCACCAGCGAGGAGGACCTGTGCCCCATCTGCTACGCACACCCAATCTCTGCCATCTTCCGGCCCTGCTCCCACAAGTCCTGCAAGTGAGTATGAGCAGCTCCTGCTGGCCCCAGCTCCCCGCAGCATTTGGGGTTCGGGAGTGCTTACGCTCTTCTTCCCCCCCATCCCAGAGCCTGCATCAACCAGCACCTGATGAACAACAAGGACTGCTTCTTCTGCAAGGCCACCATCACAGGGGTGGATGATTTCACCAAGCCGGCCGGCTCCTAATGCCTGGCCCTGCACATGGGTCTGTCCCTAACACAGAACAGGGGCTGCAGGGAGGGAGGGGCCATTCTCAGGGAGGGGAGCGCGAGGCCTCATTCCCACAGCAGCCCCGCATGCAGTGAGCGCTGCCTGGGGCCGGGCTGTGTGTTTGGGCTTTGAGACTTCGGCCCTGGCTGGGGGCTGACTTCGTGAAATGCAGCATTAAATTATTCTTCCTTACACAGTACCAGGGTGACGTGAGGAGGGAAAGCCGAGCCAGCTCTGGGGGCTCTGCTGTGCACAGATGATGCTCAGAGGTAGATGGAAATATAAATATTTAATCTAAACAGAACCAGGAGAGAGCACAGCGGGCGCTACATGATGATGCGTGGCTCTGGCACGGACTCGGCGATGGATTTGTGTGGCAGCACGTTGGCCCCATTGAGGTAGAGCTCATCGTTGACAATGACATCCTCACCGAGCACCGTCACGTTCTCCATGCGCACCTGTCCCAAGAGCTGCGTCACACCCAGCCCGCTTCAGGGCATGGGGCCGTGCTCCTGCTGTCGCCCACTGGCACCACAGTGCTTTCCTCCTCCCTTTGGCTACAGCCAGGAGGCAGGGCAGGATCTGGCCCAGTCCCTCTAGAGCCCCGCAGCACACGCCTCCTCACCCACTGCCCCACAGAGCAGCTCCAGCCCACAATGCAGGACTCCAGCCAGGAGTGGGAGCAGATGCGGGCCCCCTGCAGCACCGTGCAGCGCTTGATGCGCACCCCGTCCTCCACCACCACACCAGCCCCAATCGTCACATTAGGGCCGATGACGCAGTTTGCCCCAATCTTGGCGCTAGGATCCTGCAAGGAAAGAGGGATTAATCACAGAAACCCCAAGGTTGGAAAAGACCTGTAAAATCATCCACTCCAACCATTCATGGACAGTTCTCACTAAACCATGTCCCTCAAAACAATGCCCAAAACTGCAGTGAGGCCGGGGGCACAGCTCAGCCAGTGTGAGGATGGCAGGGCCAGCTTGAGGAAAGCAGTGGGAGGATGGAGGTGAGCCCGTGCAGTGTGTCTGAGGCTGGCACTTACCACCAGCACATTCCCCACAACACCAGGCCCTGAGTGCAACTTCTCAGGATGCTGCGCCCGCAGTGCCTGCAGGTACATGCACATGCCAGTGAGAAAGTCTTTGGGCTGCCCGATGTCCATCCAGAAGCCTGCGGGGACAGAGCCTCAGCGACAGCACTTCAGGTGGGGCCCCAAGCATGGCCAGGACCCTGCTTGGGGCCTTACCCTGCAGCTCCATGGCATAGAGCTGCCCATCCTGCGCCATGGCTGGGAAGATCTCCTTCTCGATGGATGTGGGACGCAGCTGCAGGGATACAGACGGGTTGTGGGCTGAGCATGGGGACACAGCCTCCAGACCCAGCCCCCAGCTCCCAGCCCAGCCCTACCTGGATGCGTTGCAGGATGCCGGGGCTGAAGATGTAGAGGCCAGCGTTGATCTTGTTGGATACGAAGACGCGTGGCTTCTCCACGAAGCGGCAGATGCGGCCGCTGTCGGGCTCGCTCACCACCACGCCGTACTTGGCCGGCTCCTCCACACGAGTGACCACGATGGAGCCCTCGCCGCCGTGCCGCCGGTGGAATTGGGCCAGCGCCGCAAAGGGGAACTCGCAGATCACGTCGCTGTTGAGGACGAAAAAGGGCTCCCCGCCCTCGGCCAGCAGGTCCCGCGCCAACGCCAGCGGTCCCGCTGCCCAGCTGTCAGTGCCACCACGGGGCCGGGGACAGCCCAGCCTCGAGCTGGATGCTGCCTGCGCCCATCTCGGTATCCCCGCTTCCACCAACGCTCCCAGCCGCCGGCTGTCACTCAGCCGCTGTCGATGCTACCTTCGCTCATCCCGTTGTCCCTCGTGCCCATCAGCCTTCCCAGCCGCCGTCCACACCGCCCGTCCCCAGCCTCGTGCCCATCAGCTCTCCCACCCACCGACCATCAGCAGCCCTCCGTCCCCATCACCCGCGCCCATCCCAGCATCCCCGGCGCCGGCGGCGCTCTCGGCCACCGGGCTTCACCCGCACCCCTCCCAGCTCCCCTCCCGCCGCCCGCCCCTACCTGTGCCCAGCGGCTCCTTCTCGTGGGACAGGGAGATGCGGATGCCGAGCTGCGGGCAGAGCCGTCAGAGCGGGGCGGAGCGGGGCGGGGCGGGGCGGGGGCGCGGGGGTTCCTTACCCGCTGCTCCTGCTCGCGCATAGCGGCCTCCAGCGCCTCGGACATGTAGCTCACGGCCAGCACCACGTGGCTGACGCCCGCCTGCGGGAGCTGGCTGGTCAGGGGGGCGACGGGGCGGCGGGGCCCGGCTTCCCCCCCGGAGCGGCCCGTACCTGGCGCAGCGCCTCCAGCTGGTGCAGCAGCAGCGCCTTGTTGCAGAACTCCACCAGCGGCTTCGGTCGGCTCAGGGTCAGCGGCCGCAGCCGCGTCCCGAAGCCGCCCACCAGGATCAGCGCCCGCATCCCCGCGCCCCTGCCGACACGTCAGCGCCGCGCGCGCCTGACGCGTCACCGCCGGGCCCGCCCTGAGGGGCGGGGACACCTGTGCCTCAACCAATGGGAGGCAGAGCCATCACTGCTCCCATCCAGTGGGAGGCGGAGCCACCGCTGCCCCCACCCAATGGGAGGCGGAGCCACCACTGCTCCCATCCAGTTGAGAGGCGGAGCCACCACTGCTCCCACCCAATGGGAGGCGGAGCCGCCCCCGCGCACTCCCGCCCCGCGGACACACGCAGACACAGGGCCAAAACCAGCTCCTTTAATGCGCGGCGCTGGGCGAGTACGGACAGCGGATAGCGGACGGACGCGGTTATGTACAGGCGGCGGCCCTCCGCACCGGGGGCGAGGGAAGGCGGCTCCGGACAGCCCGGCCGGGCACAGGGCTGCTCCCGCTGCCCCGGGCTCCTCACTGCAGCCCACCTCGAACCCCGCAGCTCGGCCGGGCAGCGCGGCCGCCCGCAGAAGCGACGGAGGGAGCGAGCGGAGGGGAGAGCGGAGCCGAGCCGGGGCAGAAGTGCCGCGGGATGAGGCGGGGAGAGCAGGAAGGGAGCGGCCGGGACGCAGCGAAGACACGCGGGGCGAAGGGGTCGGGATAGCAGCGAACGGAGCATCCCCGGCTCGGGAAGCCGCGGGCGGAGCACGGTTGGGGGGGGGGGGGGGGGCGGGCGCAGCCCAGCGGTAATCCGTGCCGGCCGGGCGTCTCCAGCGCGGAGCCCGGAGCAGGACGTAGCGCCGTGCCTACAGGAGCCGGCAGGCCGAGCCCGCGGAACAGAGAGATCCTTGCATACAAGCGGCGGGACCGACGATTACAAGGGGAACGGTTGAACGCCCCGCTGCAGGGCCGGGGTCACGTTAACTGCTACAAGTACTATTGCTAGCCCACGAGCTGAGCTGTGGCTTGGTCGGGGGCCCAGGGCAGAGTCACGGTGGCAGAGCCCTGCCCGTGCTGTCCCGGGACCTGCCCAGGGCCGCAGGGGCAAAGACAGCACCGGGAGTGCAGCATCTCCTCCCCCCGCAGCTCTGCCCTGGGTTGCATTTGGTCATTTTATTTCCCCGTTTGGGTCGGTTATTCACAGTGCCCAAACAGAAGGAAAAGGCAGCATCAAAAGCAAAGGCCCAACGGCAAAACAGAGGGCAGAGCTAGCAATGCCAGCCAGGGAGCATGCAGAGCACCTGCCCCATAGAGTCTGCCGGCTGCTGCTCCGGTGCCCTGGGAGAATTTCGAGCCACAGCCTTGAGGAGGCTGCCGAGGCAGGAGGTTCCCCAAGCCACAGCTGCAGCCCTCCAGAGCCCTGCATCCTCCTGCTTTCCCTTCCCTAGGGCCAGGTCCCCCCTCCAAAATACACATGGGAGGAGCAAAGTACCGAGAGCCCCAGCAGGCAGCCATAAAGCCCCCTGGAGGAGGCAGAGCTGTTGCGGTCAGTTTGAGGAGCTCTTCCACTGTGCCTCCCTTCAGCTCTTCTCTCCGAGTACATTTAAAAACAGTGGAGCAATACAATTGTCCTAAAACTGAAGTGGCTGCTGTTCCCCGTGGTAGGAGGTGGTCGTGTCTGCTCCAGTCACCAGGACAAGAATAAGCGGCCATGGCCCAGAGCTACTGGTTTCCCTCACGCAGCTGTTCCATGATGTTGATGAGGCTCTCCAGCCCAAACACATAACCTCTGTCAGGTCCGTCATGCACAGTGGGGTCATCACGGAAGCCTTTGAATGTGCTGTGTGCAAAGTCAATCATACGCACATCCACCATGGGGTGTGGGGGGGAGCTGGGCTCCATGCTGCCGCCATCCTGAAGGCTCTCCGGCACAGAGCTGGCCATCTGCTTCAGGCGCGTCTCCGAGTGGCACTCCACAAACATCTCTGCCCTGCTGTCCTTTCCGTCGTAAATGATGAGAAGGGAGCTGGAGTAGAAGCGGTAGGAGGCCTGTCTCTCCAAAACTGCCTTCAAGCTTCGGAGTTTGGCAAGGACAGGCTCAAAGAGGTCCTTGCGCAGCTCTATGCCATTGTGGAGATACTGGTAGAGGGCATTGCGGAAGCCCTCGATGGAAAGACCACGTCCATAGTATTTATTCCTGCATAAGTAATGCCCTGTGTTCAGCTGGTAGACCTGGAACACCAAAGGAAATGCACATCAAGTGGGAACACAAGGTTAAGGCAACACACAGAGAGCCCAGAGCTGCCTCGTACTGACAGGGCAGAGGGAACTCACATCACCACCACAACCAGGAGACAGAAGGAGCAGCCCTGCTGCCCCCTGCATCCCCACACAGCTTATCATGTGATTAGATGTGATTAGCCCTCCTTGCTTCAGTCTGTGGGCAGAGATACGGACTATGAGATGCCTCTGCAGGTGGGGAAAGGACTGGCTCTATTGCATGACAGCAGCAAATCCTTGTGCTCAGGGTGTAACCACAATAGGAAAACAGATGTTTAACTCTCAACACATGGATGAACGGTAGAACAAAAAGACATCCCCACCAGTGCTGCAGCTCTAGCTTAACACCAAGCAAGAAGAGCAGTTGTTTAAAAAGTCCCCATGTTTTCTGCAAACAAGCAGACCACCGTGGGAGAAGCAAGTTCCTTTGCTCTGGGCTTTCACATGAAGACCAACAGCACATCATGAACTCCAGCACACCCACCCGCTAACTCAGAGCTCGGCAGCAAACATTAACAAGTAGAAGCTCCAGTGGGACTGGGAAAAGGAACGTGCAGCATCTGCAGCCTCAGGGATTCCTACCTGCATCCCACACACTCGCACGCCCAAGGTGGCAGAAGTGCTCTGTTCACACTTCTTCATCTGCCGAGCAGCCTTCTCCTCAGAGGCATCATCTCCGTGCTGTCTGGTCCCCATCTTCAGATCAAGCACGCAGGGAAACTTGAAATGATGCACCACGTTCTCCAGCAAAAGGAACTCTGAGAGACACGTCAAGGAGAGCTCCCCAGTCAGAGACGCTGCCCCAGAGCCGCCACGAGGAGGGACAGAGGCCAGCATGAGACAGGCAAACAAACAGGAACCAAAGAGGAAGTAGAACAAACTGGGAAGGTGAAGAAAAGGACAGAACCCAAAGAGTGGCACGTGGGTTTTGGCAGCTGGTAGCAGAAGTCAGCCTGGAAAGTGCCAGGCCCAGCCCTAACAGAGATCACGAGAGGCTTACTGGAAAGCCCAGCAGGAGGAACCAAGGAGCAGAATGCTAACATCAGGAGAAATGCAGCGTGCCAGCAAGGGCTGGTGATACTTGAGGGAGAGCTCGAAGGCGAACCAAAATCACAGTTTAATCACATGGATGAAGAACACAATCCCCATGGACTGAGAATTCAAGGCTGAAGTAATAGCTGCAGTTCTGTTATCAGCCTGACCAGAACTGCAGCACTGACCAATACAGGGGGGAAACTGGAGAGGCCACAAAGGCAGGAAACAGATTTGTAATGGGAAACTTCAATTAGCACCACACACAATGGGCACACCTTCCATTAGGGCACAACGCTGAGAGCAAACTTGAGACAGTCAGTACAGCAAAGGAGTCCCAGAGGGGAGGAATAACCCCAACGTTTGCCCTGTGGGTCACAGTTCAATGTGTTGCTCTGAAATGGCAACAGCAGCAGAGCTACGTTAAACTTGCAAGGGAGTTCAGCATTTAGAAAAAAAATCTACCAGCAAAACTACATTTGATTCGAAAGAGGAACTCCAGAAAAATAAGGAAGCGTGTTAGAAAAAGATAGGACAGCTATAGCATCACTTCTCTGCAAGTGATGTGGAGTCCATTTAAAAATAGACGTTGGGGGCTCAAAGCACACACTTGGGAATAGAAAAAGGAAGGCCACAGTTAAAACGTGGAAGAATAAAGCTATTAGAAACAAGGCTGTTTCTAGGCAAGCAAAACAAAAATTGAACTCTGGCAGGTGAAGCAAAACCAGAAATTGTCACGTTAAAACAAAACAGCAAAACTGTGTGAGGAATGAATTGCAAAGGCAAAGAAAACAATCAATCCTTCTTAGGCCATATGAAGAAGCCATTCAGACTGCTTGAAGGGCTTAGAGCACAAGTATAAAAGGAGCCAATGGGAGATGGGAGTACAAAGACACTCTAAAAAGAAAGAAGCACTAATAATTTATTGTGTTTACTGGGGATTCCCAAGCCAAAACTCTTTTTCTAAATACAGATGAGCTGAAGCTAAAGGGCCAGCAGAAGAGCTGTACATCCAGCAAGAACTAACGAATGACAAATAATCAGAACAGGGCAGTCTCACCCAGAAGCACTGCAGGTCACAGGACAGATCTACTTCTACTATTAAACAGGAACTGCAGCTCATTTAAAGCTGCCTTAGCGCTAGGAGACCAAAGGCAGGCTGTGGCAGTGCTGAGTGGCAGAGACCTGGGGAACTGCAGTGTCACAGGCGTGCCACACAGCTCAGCTGGAGGCAGCCCTGCAGAACACAAGCTGGTCAACGACTTCTCAGGGAAGGATCAAACACAGCTCCTGTGGAAGTCACACCTCAGAAACACCCTGGGGTTCTTCAGCAACTCTGACAAATGCAGACATGAAGTGTCAAGGCAAAATGAAATCTGCGTGAGGATGGGGAGATCTGGGCAGTGCCTCCAAGAGTTCAGGCAACAGACCGAGGATGAAGCAGCTGGCGGTCAATTAATTAGCTAGCAAATGAAAGAAGAAAGGAGTTGGGATCTCTGACTGGTCACACAGTCATTGACAAGGCCTGTGTGGGAAGAACCATGCTGGTCAACAAGTGATCCAGAAAATGGAATGAGGTGACAAACAAGTCAGTCAAAGTTCCAAAAACAAGGAGCAACCACAAAAAAATCCCAAAAGCACCTTATGGTGCCCAGCTGGTCATTACATGGGTAGACACCGTCCAGAGTTAACGTGCGAGATGATGAACACAAGGAGAAAAAGGGCTGTTATTTTTAACCCCAACATCTAAAGCAGTGGGTTTTCAAACAGCTATTACAGTCCGAAATGGTGTTAGAACAAACAAACAGCATTTACAACAAGAGAGTGTGCCACAGAGCACAAGGAAGTAGAGACAACAGCACTGTATGCCAGTGGAAATGAAAGCTCTGGTTCACCAGCTCCTTCTGTACGGTGCGCAGTTCTGGTCACCATTTCCAGAAGGATGCAGTAGAACTGGAAGAGGCTCAAGAAAGGTGACAAGGACGATCATAGCTCCTTCCCAAGGGATTACTGAGCAGGCTAGACCTGCATCTGGGCAAGGTCTCATGTGAAGAATTCGATAGTTCAAAAAGAAAAAAGAACAAGCCAACTCAGAGAAAGTCCAGAAGAAAAAACCAAGTACAGGAATCTAGCCAGAAACGTGGCTTCTCTGAGTGTCAGAAACCAGTGGCGCTGTCTGACCAGTAGGAAAGAGCAGGAAAAAGAATTTAATACAGCTTTGATTGTGCAATGCATGGGGAAAACATTATTCTTAACACAAGCCAAGGGAAACACAGGCCTAGCTGCTTCCGGCACGAGTGTGTAGTGTAGGCAGCACGGCAGCAGCAACCTGATGCACTCGGTGCCCTCCCCAAGGATACTGTAGAGTTTTCTCTCCTTGGACTCCGAGCGCATGCGGCTCAGCTGCTGCTTGTGGCAGCGCAGGCTCCAGGGGTTATGGCTGATCTTCTCAGAGCTCAGCCCACTGTTCCCATCCAACATCTGAAACGGAACATCCGAGTGGATGTGCAAGTCCATCCTGGAACTCTTTGCCTCCTGGATGCTGCTGGCATAAACACAGAACAAGGAAGCACGTTAGGATCCATGCATTCTCCAGATATTCACAAGTCATACCTGCACACGACCTCCTCCTGCTGCTTCCTCTCCTGCTGCACGCCTCACACTACTCAAAAGCTGCCAGCTTAACAGCAAATCCTTGCTAACGTCCCAGGCTGTGGACCCATACTTATATCCTCAGGTTAAGGACTGGATGGTCTTTGAATCTGCATTTGAATCTGCTCCCCAGGCTTTGCTTCCACATCCAGCCGTTATTCCACGTCAGAAGCATTCCACTTGGATGAGTTTGTCTACAACTGGGCTCCTAACGTAGCTTGCAGTGCCACAGTATTGCTGGAATAGCAACTGCAAGACAGTCTAGCAACTGTACAGAAGTACAAAACACCCTCAATAAATGGAGGACCAGAGCTGAAAGTGGAAAGAAATATTTCCTGGTGTAGGGAACCTGCTTTGGCAGGGGGGTTGGACTCAGAGATCTCTGGAGGCCCCTTCCAACCCCTACAATTCTGTGATTTCCCATTTGCCACGTTGTCAGTGGACCCTCACAAGCTTCTACCTTTCTGTGCTGTCACTGGCCAGGCCAGGTTTTTCCTCCTTGTGCTCAGTGCCACTGCTTGACCTGTGAAGGCTCCGACGCGAGTGCTTGCGTCGTGGCTGGTCCCTCTCTGGCATGTCATCTTGCTCCAAAGCTTCATTCTCCATGTAGGGATATGCCACCAGATTAATGTAGCCATCGCTGTCTCCCTCAAAACAGACAGACACCACACCTGCCAGAAAGAAGGGACCTGTCAGTGCTGTTCGCCAGCAGAGGAAATGTAACTACTAGAATACAGGTGTTCAACAACACAGAATAACCATAGCTCACAGAGCAGAAAACCAAATGCAGAGCAGCAGAACGAGGTTCAGGATGATGAGGGGAGAAGTCAAACATTTGTAACACAGCACAGAGGAGAAATCTCTGCATACAGGAGTGCTGTTACTACAGGAGTGAACAGTTGGTAACAGCAGTAGAAGCTGTGGCACTGACAGGAAGTTAAGCATGGCACTCCTAGCCCAGAGTGCTGACATCCCAATGTGCTGCACTAAGGGAAACAGCTGCAAGACTGACGAGGGATGGATGGTTCCCCTCCATTCAGTCTTGCAGTGTAAAATAAAACAAGAAATGTCAAACTAGAGAAAGTAAAGCAGAGTCTACCAAGCTGCTGAAGGGGGAAAAGCATATGAAATGTGCATTTAGTTCATTTGGGTTGGGTATCCATATCAACAGCAGGAACATGTTTGCAGGACAAGAGCATTCCTGGTCTGCTTTCCCCGCTCCAGCACCTGAGCACTGACACTTCGGTGACACCTGCTGCTTGTATCTCAAGTCAGCCAGTCTTGTAGAAAAGGATCTGTGAGGCCCCAGGGCTTCCTAGAGATAAAACAGGAGGCCGTGGAGCAAAAACTTTGTGCCAGCTGAAGGCAATCAGGTCCACGTGTGTCCTGGCCACCGTTACCTTCCAAAGGCTCTTGAAAAACACCACATTCCCAGGGAAGATAAAGACCTTTCACGGCACCAATTCTGAACGTATCTAGCTGGCCAGCCACGGGGCAGAATAGCTGGCAATTTCAGGTAGGGCTGATGTCTTTGGGGCACTTCCAGCCCTGAAAATGAGGCAGCTGACATCTCTCAACTCACAGCAGTGAAATTATTATTTTTTAATCAGCTTGTCACCAGTATCAAACAGCTGCCAAGAATATTGGGCTCTACATGGACTGAATCTGAAGACTTGCCATAAAAGTGATGAAACATTTCACTGCTCGGTTGATAAAGAACATCACACTACTATTTTTCCCTGCCTGCACATGACAATGCCAACAAGGTAAGAAAGCTCCACACAAGTTCTGAGAAGCTCAGGACTCCAGCATGTCACTACATAAACGATCATCCAAGCCCTCTGTCTGCCTGGATGCGCTCCACAAGTCACACCTCTGAAGAGGCAATCTTAAGAGTTACATACGTGTGCTCAGAAAGGAAACATCATCTTCTCCAGAGCAGCAGGAGTGACCCCTGGGACCAGCAGGAAACTGCACTGGAGCCTCAGATGAAATCCCATACTGTAGTGGAGATGCACATCCCGTGCCTTTAGGCAACTAGGAAATATGATGATGATGCGAGGTCTCCATCTGGACCATCAGCTTCATCAGTTTTAAACACATCTCCTGAGGAAAGCCTGACATCACATCGATTCCAGTAACAACAGGCTTCAGGTGGGATTTCAGATGGGTCACCAGAGCCCCATATGGATCCAGAGCGGCTTGAGGGTACAAGAGGACCCATCTGTTGGAGATGGTATCTCTCTTTCACGGTCTGTATACAGACACAGGTAGGTAAGCTGACACTGCTTTCAGCCCTCCAGGAAACAGCCAGATCAAATGGCACGACCTGGAACAGACGGAGGCCCCATCTGCCCCTGAAGCGCAGTCCTCCTTGTGCCACACAGGAAGGAAGCAGCAGCAGAGTTACCCTTCTGCAGGGGAACACATGGCCCCAAGGTACCTTCTGAAAGATACAGGAGGCGATCGATTTGCTACAATGATACAGGCACTGGAAAATTCCACTCCTTGGGAGCAGCTGGGGACAAGGCTCACTTCACCTCAGTGCTCAGAAAGAAACACTTCCTGCTTCAGCAGTTTTCTGATAGGGGTCCATAAAAGAGCTGGGATGAGGAAGCAGTAAATTATGGGACCGAATGCACAACTGCTCGGTGCGTGACCTAACTTCACTTGCTCAAGGTCAAGGCAGTAGGAACTGACAATAACTTGCCAGTAAAATTACTTCTGTCATAACCTTAAGTGTCAGACAACAACAATCAGATTCTGTCTGGAGGGATGAACACACTAAGCACAAAAAAGAGACCTCCCCCTTCCCAAAAGCTCCAATCACATCGCTACCCTGCAAAAGAGGAGAACACAACTAAAAAGCGAAAAAGACAGCGACACTCAAGCACAGCTCCAGGAAAAGGAGAAGGCGGCTTCACAAACCACGTCACCCCGCTGCAAGGTGACAGCAGGCCTCACCTTTGTACTCAGGCGTGAACTCCTTCATTTCTGGAGGCAGGGACTCATAGAAGCGCTGCTCCCTGGTGATGAGCGGCTTGCAGACGGTGTGGTCGTCGTAGCGCATCATGCTGCTGTGGCCGCCCACCTGGTGAATGAAAGGCTCCAGCAGCACCCCCCGGTCTCCAGATTTAGTGGCATTCTTGCCATACTTGCCCACTTCCATGGTTTGACAAACACACATTGCGTTGGGCACCAGTTGAACTCTTGGAGCATGGGGAGAGCCACAAAGGCTGGGAGATGCAGCTCAGCGGCGCTCAGGCAGCCAGGTTTTCCCCCTCTCTATCTGCTTCCTTGTGATGATCTGGAAAGGCAAACGAAAGTCCTGTGAATGGAGAAACACTTGTACTCATGCTCATCTCCTAGGAGAAGTTTTTGCTGTTTCTCTATATCTGCAAGTGTCCCTCTCATTCCCCATTTACTTTCCACTTGTTCCAGCACGCTCCTCACCATCTCTTTAATCGTGTAGGGAAACACATGCTAATTTGGAGTCTGTCTCTTCCACCTCCAGTAGGGTTGACAGGAGACAGGGAAAGGAGGAGGTCTGAGTATCCTGAGGCTCCCATCTTTACAGAATGCCATTTCCTTCCTTCAGCTCATGTCATCAGAGAGGCACCGTGGTAACGGAGCACAAACGGTGAGCTCCAGCACAGCTAAAAGCAAGCTCACATCCACCCAGCAGGGACAGAACCAACACAAGCAGAACAAGTCCTTGAAGAATCAGAATCCCATTCCTTCTGCACATCTAAGCAACTCCTGTTCACCTCCTGCCCTGACACCATTTCCTCCTTTTCTTTTCCACTTCTCTCCAAGCTATGACTTGGACCATTTTCAGAATACAAGTGCCACAGCCATTCTGCTGCTGTATCTAAGTGGCTTCCCCTTGGATCCTCTCCTTTAACACCCAAAGCCCTTCAGAGCAGCTGGTTCCTCATGCTTTTATATAGCCCACTCACACAATAAGCCTGGGCTTTCTAAAGGTAGGCAAGAGGGACTGTCAAATCCAAATGAGATTTGAAGTGCTTTGGAGAAGACAGATGCTCTTTAAATGTTTGCAGTCTGCCTGGCACAGCCACAGGATGGCGAAGAAGCAAAGCTGCCCGAGTTAGCTCCAGATGCTCTGGCCTTTTTAGCTCAGACTGTAGCTGCTCCTGGGACTGCTGGAGAAACACCACAGCACCTCCTCACAACAAGCAACCACCTGAAGTCTCTGGCACAAGAATCCCATGGCAGCAACAATGTCTGAAATCATCAGGCTGGAACAGCAACATGCAGGGGCAACAATAAAAGCCTGGGGGACCTGGGAGGCCTGAACGCAGCCCAGGCTATCCCTCCTGTGGCCACGGGATGTCTCTGCATCTACACCCCGGCACTGCACTGGGCCACGATCCGAGGGGAAAGCAGCTCCTCTGGCTCTTCCTCGCTTTCTGGTTCAGCAGCACAGAAGATGCAGCTCCGGACATTACAGAACTGGGGGTGATACTTTACAATATGGTTAACACAACCTGACCCAAAAGGTCCCAGCAGCAGAATGATGCTTCTCTCTGCTGTCTGCACATTTCCCTCGCACTGGATTTTGGGACTGTAAGTGTGTGTACGTACATTTCTGTTGAATCATCTCACTGATCCAATGGAAAGCATTTCCTTTTGTGGTGGCTACGTGACCACACTGCCCTCACACAACTACATCCAGTGCAAAGGGATGCAAATAGTCAGCTTGCTGGTGTAGAGAAGGGACAAAACATCATTTCTGGATCACAGGATAAGGTTTAAGTCTCTAAACTCACACAGAGTCTGAGACATACCACAAAGACTAAAACAGGCTGTGGATTTCTCTCCTCCCTCTCTTTTGCTTTATCAAAAAGGCAGAGTTCTAGCAGCAGAGGCTTGCCTATATGCTTCTTAGCTTAGTTTAATAGCAGCTAATATCCAAGAAGCAGCAGGGTGCCAGCACCTGCAACACACAAACACTGCACAGTTGAACACTTTGCAGACTTCAAACTCCCTGTGCCTATGCAGCTTTCCTTTAGATTTGGTTTCCTTTATTTTTACAATAATCACAGCAGAGTTTTCCATTATCCCAAACACAGGGGACAACTTCACACCCTCCTATAGTTTAAACTTCATGGGACAAAGGTGCTAAGAGGGTCCCCCACATCCAGAGACACACATACAACTCCCAGTTCTGGTACCAGCCCAGTTCCCACTGCAAGTCAGTTGCAACGTGTCTCAGGGTCTCCACTCCACCAGCAGCAGAATGAAGCACTAATGTCTCTGTGTGAGACAATGGAGACTCTCCAGGTATGCTCATTAGCTTCAGACACCTTCATTAACTTCAGACAGATAGCACAGATATCCAGGCAGACACGCACACCAGCAGGCTGTTTTCAGATTCACCTCTGGGCAGATTTTAGCCATCAGAACAAGAGAGGGGACGCCTGGCCTACTTTAAGAAGGCTGCTGAAAGATGAGCAACACCTAAGAACACGCCATCTGAGTCACTCAGAGGACAGCAGCATACCACACCACGGGGTCACATACAAGTAAATGTGAGAAAAATGCTTTGTCCCCAGTAGCATTTAACAGAAGAGGAAGCTAACTACAGGGCTTGGAAAACCAACACGTTACATCTGGGAGTGGGAACCGAGTGACACTCAGACCAACCCCAAGAATTATTACTAAACATGGACACTATCCACAAACAGAGACAGAAGAATCCCAGCAGTTTCAAACAACTATAAAGCAAAAAAAAAAAAAACCAAAAAAACCAAAAACCTATTTGAAGGCCTAAATATTACTCATTCTTCCTCTGTTAAACAAAGGCATTGGTTCAACTATTTTAGCTGGCTTGTGAAATTCAGAGTCCTTCCAGTTGGACTGAAAAATAGCCTATAATCCACACAACAGCTTCAGAGAGACGGGGTCACCCAGACACATCCTTTGGTGGTGCCCAACACTGCAGTCACAGATCAGCCAGCAGCAGAACACAGAGGGCAGTTGAGCACCCCCCTTCCAAGCAAGACAGATCGTCCACCAAGTGACACTTGTGAAGATGAAGGTGAGCAGAGCACTGGTAAGTGCACGAGGACACAGCACATCCAATGTCCCATTATCCCAGCCACTAAAAATATCCTGTAGTGGAAAAGGAATGGCTCCACAATATTTAAATCTGAACGCATGCTCTGAATTCAAGCTACAAACCTCACCTGTCCAACACCCGGTCCTTAATGGCACAGACACCAAGAACAATCAGCTGGGTTTTCCTGCAGTGGCACAAAATCTTTCCAAAGAAAAAGACAGACAAGGTAACCCTGAGCTCCACAGTCATGAAGCAGAGTGAAGCCCACTGCCCTTACTGATGCTGCCCTTCAGAAAGGTACGTGGCACAACACAGTAACAAACTGGTTACGTGTTCCTAGATCCAACCAGAGGATCTCACAGACCCCCAGCTGAGGTTAATGTCTTACCAGACCTCCCCCATAGCCAAGGAGATGGCAGGCACTAACTGAGGGGACCTGGGGTGGGAGAACATCAGGCGTACTCACACACACACACATGCATACAGAAGAATAGAGGGCAGGAAGGACAACTCTGTTCAGTCACAGTTTTAAGCAGTTTCAAGCTCTGGGGTGAGACATCATGTTCTGCAAAAGTACAGTAAAGACGTTCCATAGCTAAGGCACGACACTGCACAAACACCCTCTTCTGTGCAGTTTACAAACCCCTCCATTTGTAGCTCTGTGCTCCCTAGAAGACAGCATGCACTTCTCAGAGCAGCACCTGCATCCTGCTGTACACCCAGCCTTGCACCAGCACAAGAACTCACGCGGCTGCATGACAAACTGCATCAAGACAAACTCCTCTGCTCCACTGGCTCAACTCAGATCAGGCTCCCAGTGCCATTCACTGTGCAAGCCACACAGGCATCCGTGCAGACACAAGGATGGAGGCAGCAGGACAACACAAATGCCTGCTGCTGCAAGGTCAGCTGCTCAAACACAACAACACAAGGCTGCCAGGGCAGGAAGTGGGAACAACGGGGATGCTTCTGTGATGGCTAACTTCAGGTGACAGAGAAACGAGCCCCACGTCACCATGCAATTGAGAGGTGGGGGCACAGAGCTTCGCTCCAACGGACTGCTGAGATCACACCATGATGTGCATGATTCCAATCCAAGCTGTCCTGGATGGGAATACTGGCAACGCTTTGTGACTCACTAGTAGAGCTGAACTCTACCAAAATAAAATGAAGAACAAACACTTCAGATTGTGATGCACACAGCAAGAAAGCTGACTGCCTTAAGCAGCGCTGACTCATGCCTTCACCGTGAGCAGCCTGCATGGCTGCCTTCCCATAAAGCCCCACTGGGGCTCCCAGCACTGAAGCCTGCCTGCAGGATCTGCACGGCCAAAGCACAAGGCAGATGGCCACACGGGATCCTGGGGTGGGCCACAGGCAAAGATAAACACTGATCTCAAGGTCGTGGGGACAGAAGTGGGACTTTCCCTTAACGTCCCCAGCACAAGCAGGAGCAAAGCACAAAACTAAAACAACATTGACGCATCAGGAATGAGGATAAGAGCATCTGCCCAGGGGGTGCCTGGTGGCTGCGAGTCTGGCTAGCCCAAAGAGCAGATACAGTTAGCATCCAGTCTTCTTTTGTGATGCCAGAATGAGTGACTCAACTTCTATAAATGAAATCTGAGCCTAAAATGGAACAACATCCCCACGTGCTTTGATTTGAGATAAAACTTCCATTGAACCACAGGCTTGAGGCACATCAGCAGAAGACCTTGAGGATCTCTGCAGCCAGGCATATCCCTCCTGCACAAACACGACCTGCAAAAACGTTCAGGACATAACCAGAAATGCTCACATTCAGCCAGCAAGGTACCTTGGAAGCTACCAGCCTTCCTAGCCTGCTCAAGTATGCAGCTTTGAATCCTGAGCCTCCCTATGCACCTTGTCCAGTGCCCCAGCTAATGTGGACACGCTCCCTCACCAAGATGGCTCTACAGATCAAGCCCAGAGGGGTGAACACTATCCTGAAAAATCATAAACAGATATTTTAGAGAAAGCTGCTTGCAGAAAGGCAGCTGAGAAAGAGAATGATGATGGGGATGCAGCAAAGGATACTCTGCTGCCAGAGTGAGGACAGGAACCACACGCAGGTGTGGATGGCCCTATACCCCCTATGCCACAAGCTGATCAAAAGCACTCCAACCAAAATTCTCCCATCTCAACAGCAGGGAAAAGCACTCGCTGCTGAAGTGTGCAAAAGGAAAGGAGCTTCATCAGTTTTA